TTAAAATATATGCAATGGGGCCAAAAAGTTTAGTCAAAACTATACTTTAAAAAGAAATTTAATTTACAGTAATTTGTTGTGTTTGCCATAGCAAATTATAGACCTGCATAACAATTTAAGTGAAAAAAACTGTCAATGTCACAAATTTGCTTATTTGTTAGTGACACTTACATAATTTTTTTCCAGGTTTAAATTTATGTGTCCTCAGGGAGCTCATTTGGCTCCCACTGTATATAGAAAATGTATAATATATTCTTCATTTTTATATACACAAATAATTTAGATTTTTTTTAAATGTGTTTGTAAGAAGTGTCTTATGCTCACCAACGCTGCATTTATTTGTAAAACAGTTATTTGTAAAATATTACTTATGAATTATTGAAATAATTACTATCCTTGTGGGAACTCCCCATAGGCATAATGGTTTTTATACTGTAAAAACTGTATTTTCTATCGCCCTACACCTAAACCTACCCCCTCACAGAAAACTTTGTGCATTTTTACAATCTCAAAAAAACTCATTCTGTATGATTTATAAGCTTCTGTAACCATGGGGACCTCAATTTAGGTCCCCACAGTGACACAAGTCCCCATGAGTTGGTGTGTATTCAGGTGTAAGTCCCCACCAGTATAGAAAAACCTGTACACATATACACACACAGTGTACAGTATATACCTGTGTTTTGACAATGTTGCTTACCACTAGGAGGCAGCACACTCCAGACTAGTGTCTTGTGGTACATCTGAGCCACAAAGAGAAGCTGAAGGCAAGTACAGTCTCCTCTCCATTTGTCTGACATCTGGACTCCTGGCATCTCCCGATACCTCTCCAGGCCCTGATCTATGTCATCTCAGAGGATAGATCTCTGTATTAAGTCTTCTGTCTATTTGATTCCACTTTTCTTTTCACATTTCTAGCACTGATGAGCCTTCAGAACCACGGGGGGATGTTACTAGTGGGAATAAGAGGGGCTGCTTTGTGTTCACTTAATTACAGTCCTAACATTTCTTTCTCTAGATTATGTTTCACGCAGGCATCCGTACCAGCTCCCATCCGAGGCTTCCCCCAGACCCCTCACTCGCGGTCCTGTTCAACAGAACATTCTCCAACAAAACCTCAAAGAAAAAAAGCATATCAGTCAGGTTGAGGGTGGACAGATTCTAACTTATGTGCCATATATACGTACAGGCTTGTCTTTTCATGTCCGATCTGCATATGTTTATGCTTCGGTTTGGCACATTTTTCATACATAACCTGTGGGTCACCAGAGGAATTCAACCCATTCTTATAGAATTTGATATATATATATATATATATATATATATATATATATTTCCTGCTTCTGAAGGCTCAAAGTTTGCCCAAGAAAAAACAAGAGTCTGTGCAATTTTTTTTTTATCTGTATCAAATAGAGCAGAAAGGAACTTTTCCACCTGGGATATCTCCACCTTTTTAATTCTTACTCTCCTCTTTTGTCTGAGTTTGGCTGATTCTTTGTTCTCATTGTTATAAATTTGTGGCGGGGTCTGCCGATGACAGTCCTCTGAAACTTTAACTGTCGTGTTTTGAGACGCAACAGTGCACATAAACGAGCCTTTTTTATTACTATTTTTTATGCTCGAAAAAGAAACGACATTTCCGAAATTAGTCTTGCGAGTCGTATATCTGTTCTCTAGTCACAGTTTCAACATAAGCGGGACAATATTAGGAGAGGTATTTTGCTGACTAGGTTCTCCGTGTAGTTGACGCGGCTGAAATGGGAGCGCGTGACGGGCGCTCGGTGTCTGCGGTTCACCGGAGCTCTTTCCTCCTGTGGACGCTGCTGCTCATACTGTGGCTGACCTGCGTTCAGGGGACCTGGGGACCCGGAGTTTACAAATATCAGACCGGGACAGCACTTCACAAAGATCAGTCCAAGAGGTAAGGTTTATATGACATGACAGAAGCAAATCTGGTGAAAAGTTGACAGTTGAAGTTTTACATTGTTTTAAGTAATGTTCGCCGTTTATTTACACTTAAACTACTTTTCATCGATTGTTTGCAGTCAATTAAAAACTTCAAGGGGAAAAGTGCATTTTTATACAAAGTTTAAAAATATTTAAACGAGGCAACGCCTTCGTAAATGAAGAGCTGAGATCAGTAAATTCATATTTCAGTGTTTGTTAAATTTCTGTCCACATTCCTCGTTGGAAAATCCAGTTTAAGATTTCAGCAGTGTGAAAACTTAGTTGTAGCTGGTCAGTAACAAGTTAATAGGCTAGACCATCTTGGGCCAGAATAAATCTGGTAAACATGGTGTCTGGTCAGTTAGCTAATGATCAGCTTGGAACAGCTAGAAACCAGCTACCATGTTCCAAAACACAGATACCAGTTTAAGATGGACTGCTTAATAAACTATTAATCAGTTTTATTCTGTTCAGTTTGTGTTTCTACCTAAATGCAATGCTGATTTCGCTGCTCTCCACCTAATGTGCCTCCTGTTGTGAGTCTGACAGTCTGTTTCCTCTTTCCTGAGATGGGGGAACACCCATCTCTCCTGTCTATACATTTGTCCAAGGTTTATTCCATTTAAAACATGCATTAAATTGATTGGTATCACTGTCTGGACTTATTCAAACTTCATAAGGACAGAGAGCTTTTGAATATTTGCATATTTATGGACCCTTGTTGTCAGATTTATATTTAGGCAAGTTTTTTGAAATGCTAAATCAGAAGTAATCAGCAGTGTTTTTTTTATCAGTATATCATCCTTTTCATTTCCCTCCTCTAGTGCTGGCTTTGCATGTGGTTGATTAGGCTTTTTTGAGACATAACAAGGCATAACAAATACAATTAGACAAAACATACAACATGTAAGCTCTCCCTTCTGTCCAGACCTCATCACCTTGACTGACCTGTGACCACAGCTAATGGCCTTGATCTGACCCTCATATCTTCATGTACATTTTTACTCTGTTTGGGTAAATGGCTTAGAGTTGTTATGGGTGGGATGTCTGGTGGAGTGCCTCTGAAGTACGCAGGTGTGGAGTCATCTTTGCTCTCTGGGCTGATGGTTTTATCTCTCACCCCCTCCTCCTATTAGTCACAGACTGATGAAACAGACAGTGTTTACTAAACACATGCAGCTGCATCGTCTGCATGCTGTGAGAGGGAAATTTATTTCACTGCTGTCTGATGATGCTGTGAGGAGAGGTCACAGACATCTTTGAGATGCCTTGGATAGGCAGCACTGTTCACTGAGAGGTGCAGTATAACTGTTTATAGTTTAAAAAACCATGTGAAATACTCAAGATGCAGTTGCTTTGAATTTACTTGTTTATAAAGTAAATCAAGTTCAGACTTTCTTTTTTTTACATTTAAGGGGATAGTTTACCCCAAAATGAAAATTGTCCCATTATTTACTCCCCTTCAAGCCATCCTAGGTGTATATGACTTTCTTCTTTACAATCGGAGTTATATTAAAAAATATCCTGGCTCTTCCAAGCTTTATAATGGCAGTAAATGGGGGTCAAGATTTTGAAGCAAAATAAAGTGCATCCATCCATCATAAAAAGTACTCATGTGGCTCTGGGGGGTTAATAAAGGCCTTCTGAAGTGATGCGAAGTGATGAAAAATATCCATATTTAAAACTTTATAAACAGTCATCTCTAGCTTCCGCTAACTGTCTTACATGCGTTCACAAGAGAGTGGCGTCCAGTGGATGACGTAGGCGTATACTAGTGTCACGAGAACCAAGTTTTAATACAGCAAAGGAAAACCAGTCTCTTCTTGCCTTATATCGACACTTTTCTTTAAAAATCCTTGTTTTGTACTTCTAATTCGTGACCAGTGTTTTGTTTTGCTCTCTCCACTGCTCTTCTGCGTTCTTCACTTCTCATTATAAAGCTGGGAAGAGCCAGGACATTTTTAATGTAACTCTGATTGTGTTTGTCTGAAAGAAGAAAGTCGTATACGCCTAGGATGGCTTGAGGTTGACTAAATCATGGGGTATCATCTCTTTTAAGGAGCAATTTCTTCCTAACCTCATTTATAAAAAATTACTTGTTTTTGCAACCTAGTCATGTTTTTAGGTTACCTGGCAAAACATATTTCATTGTGTGTCAGGGCTGCTTGATTGCGACAAACAATAAATAAATAATCATGATTATTTTGGTAATTACAAAGATCTTGATTATTTTATGCAATTACTTGTTGACTGTGGAAACATTCATTTATTGAATATGTAAATTTAGATCATAAAAATAATATCAAATATGTTGTAGTGCATTTTCACAACCTACTAAAGACTTCTAAACAACATATGCTCAGTATTTTAGTAACTTATTCAACATATTCTATCTTGATTGTCTTGCATTCAAAATCATAAAATTTGATTAATTTCCCTAGTGTGTTTTGTCTATAGATTAATAAAAGCAAAACCAATTAAGTGTTGTCAAAAATTATGTTAACATGCATATTAGAAGTTCAGTTTAAAATTCAGACTAAAATAATAATTTATCTTTTTAAAATGTTATTTAAATGCTGTATCTGACTAAAATTGTGAAGTCTGACTAACAGACCTACAAAATGTGATTGTAGCATGGCTTTGTGCAGCATTTATACACGTTAATCAGACAACAACTGGCCTTGGCGTTGTGCATTTGCTTTGAAAGATGCACAACATGTATTTAATCCTTCAAATATTTGATTACACATTGTTGTGTATACTTTATACTGTAGTTCGGCTACACAGAATCTCACTTTACATGAGTTAAAACTGCATGTCGATGTACTGTGTATAGATGCCTGCACAATTTAGTTTCCCACGCTAGAGCACAGAGGAAAAGTTTATTCTGCTTTCTAAAGCATCACTGGGAGAGGCTGAACGGGCATATTAACTTTTGCCATAAATCATAATTAACCCCGATCCAAGACAATGCCTGAAACGTAAATGTCCTGAGAAAAGTCCCTTAATAATATCTGTCTAATTAGGGGCCAAGCGCAGTTGGGGGTTAAGTCAGCAGCTATTTCCTGTTCTGCTCGGCTTCACTGCCCTAGAGAGCAGCACTCAGGGTGGGAGTGTGAGACTTGGGGCCCCAGAGGGACCTTCAACTGCTGACCCATCAACACCATCCAACATACCTCCACTTCTACCCTCATTCTGCCTCCACGAAAGCAGTGACTCTTTGATGCTTAAGTGTTGCTCCGTGGGTTATACACATTAGATATATTTTTGTTTACTTTATTTGTTTTTCTCTTCTGCATTGTAAGTCCATTGCAAATTTTAAAAAAGGCAGAGGAAATATTTGTTTTGACACATTTATATGTTCTGGGGATTCACAAACATCTTCTCAAAAAAGAAGTTAAAGAATTTGTTAAGATCATTTCTATGAAGTTTGTAAATGTCGTTCTTGAAAAATTCATAAGATATCAAGCTATTTTCTTAGAAACATTAGAAGAAAATGACACGCTTTGACTGTGTGGTGGTTCTTGAAGACTTTCTGTTCAACTTAATGAAAAACACTAATAAAAAAAAAAGTCACATCACGCATAATCATGACATGATTACTCAGTAGTATTATTAGAGGTTATCTACAATGGTTCTTTTCAGGAATTCAGATTCTTCTTAAATTTTGTCTTCAGAATAATCTTAAGAAAAAAAATAAGAAATATTTTTGGAAATGACAAAATATTCTTAATTTTACTCCTAAATTAGGAAATAGGAAGAAAATGGCAGTTAATAAAAATGTTATTCTTAAGAATGTTTCAGAATTTCAGCCCCTGTTTTGGAAAATATCTTCTAAAACAGAAAACAAATGCTGCAGCACTCTCACATGTTGTCAGATATAAATCAACATCATCACATGAAACTCGGATCAATCAATCAAGGAATCAGTTTCACTGTGAGGATAGAGATACTTAGGGAAATATGCACTGATCATCGTCATGATCTATGGGTGTTTCTGTGTGTGCATTCACTCATCCTTATCATTTGACCTGTCCTTTGAACCATTCTTAAGCAAATCTCAGGGACAGAAGAGGGTTCCTGCTCATTTCTGCTTTGCTTTGTCGTTCTTTCTTTCTTTTCTCTCTTTTAGTACTTTTTGATGCTTTCTTTCAGCAGCCCATTAATCTTATTCATCCCTCACTGTTTTGCCTAGTATTGGACGTCATGAGCCTAATTGGGTTATCCCAGGAGGGCTTCATTACTGACCCGATGATGAAATGCTGTCTTTCCACCCCTCCTGTCCAGCTGCCACAGCTTTCCATTGTCTTCTTGTTCAAACTTAATTTATTTGCCTCCAGAGTCAATAATCTTTGTAGTCTGTGCTACATTGCGGGAGTCAACATTTGCCTATTAGTCACAGACTGATGAAACAGACAGTGTTTACTAAACACATGCAGCTGCATCGTCTGCATGCTGTGAGAGGGAAATTTATTTCACTGCTGTCTGATGATGCTGTGAGGAGAGGTCACAGACATCTTTGAGATGCCTTGGATAGGCAGCACTGTTCACTGAGAGGTGCAGTATAACTGTTTATAGTTTAAAAAACCATGTGAAATACTCAAGATGCAGTTGCTTTGAATTTACTTGTTTATAAAGTAAATCAAGTTCAGACTTTCTTTTTTTTACATTTAAGGGGATAGTTTACCCCAAAATGAAAATTGTCCCATTATTTACTCCCCTTCAAGCCATCCTAGGTGTATATGACTTTCTTCTTTACAATCGGAGTTATATTAAAAAATATCCTGGCTCTTCCAAGCTTTATAATGGCAGTAAATGGGGGTCAAGATTTTGAAGCAAAATAAAGTGCATCCATCCATCATAAAAAGTACTCATGTGGCTCTGGGGGGTTAATAAAGGCCTTCTGAAGTGATGCGAAGTGATGAAAAATATCCATATTTAAAACTTTATAAACAGTCATCTCTAGCTTCCGCT